CCATCGGCCTCGAGCGCGGCCGAAGCGCCCGCTGCCGAGACGGCCCCCGCTTCCGTGGCGACTCCCTCGCCTCCCCACCAAGACGTGGGCAAGTGGCCGGAGGAGTTTGGGTGATCTGTGTTTCTTGCCCCCCCGGGGGGAACTCTTCGTACCGACCATCCGGACATCGAATATGGCAAGCTGATCCTGGCGATGCACCCAACCCTTGCGCAACGCGTGGCCACAATAGCTGGGTAGACTGTACGGGGGGCGTAACGTTGCAATGAATATCTGTTTTGCGGACATTACTTGGGAGGTTCGCGAGCTGCGCGACTCGCAGGGCACCAATCTAGGGACAAAGGCTTGATGGACATAAGTAGCTTCCCCTGGCTCGAAGAGAACGAGAGGCGAGAATCAAGAGAAGGCGGACGAGGAGCTTGAAAAATCAGCGGGGCAGCAGCATGGCAACGGGCAGGAAGGAAGTGACGACGGGAGAGATGCAGAGGGAGGATTCGAGGCACGCCGCCACAGTGATAGTCACTGCAGGAACTGCGCAGAGCCGAGCTGCTCTGCCAGCTGCTGGACCTCTTCCCGGCACTCTCAGGCGTGCAGGCGCACCGTGCCGCGAGGTCTCATCTGCGTAGGACGTCACTATTGAAGGGGCCCAGGGACACACAAGTAAATACACACAAATAACCATATGTTCGCATATTTTCTCATATTTTCTGGGTTTCTGTCTCCCCCCCCACTTCCCATATTTTCATATATTTTCCTGGGGATCGACAATTGATTGTGTCTGTGTGTTTTCCCCTCCTGAACTATGTTGGACCATCCAGAAGCCCTCGAAAGTGGGGCAAGCTTCGCACTTCGCAGCCACCCCAGCGAAGGCGGGGTCGCATCTGAATCCGCGTAGGAAGTCACTCCGCTGGCACCCCCGGCAGCCCTCGAAAGCGGCGACAGTTTCGCACATCGCAGCCCCCAGGGATGGCGGTGTCAAAATTGAATCCGCGTATGGCGCTCACTGTGATGGCCCCCCCGAACCCATCGAAAGTGGCGACATTTTCGCCCATCGCAGCCCTCCAGGGATGGCGTGGTCAAATCTGAGCACGCGTGTGGCGACTCTGTACTGCCCCCCCCCCCAGGAGGCCTCGAAAGTAGCGAGAGTTTCGCAGATCGCAGGCCCCCAGGGATGGCGAGGTCGAATCTGAATCCACGTAGGACGTCACTGTGCTGCCCCCTCCCCCCAAGCAGCCCTCGAAAGTGGCGACAGTTTCGCACATCGCAGCCCCCCAGAGGATGGCGAGGTCTAATATGAGTCCGCGTATGGCGACACTGTGCTGGCTTGCCCCACCAGCAGCCATCAAAAGTCGCGACAGTTTCGCAGATCGCAGCCCCCCAGGGATGGCGAGGTCTAATCGGCAGCTGGGTATGGCGACACGGTGCTGATCCCCCCAAAGCAGCCCTCGAAAGTGGCGACACTTTCGCAGATCGCAGCTTCCTAGGGATGGCTAGGTCTAATCTGAATCTGGGTATGGCGACACTGTGCTGGCCCCACTAGCAGCCCTCGAAAGTAGCGCGAGTTTCGCACATCGCAGCCACCCCCCCGGATGGCGAGGTCGTATCTGAATCTAGGTATGGCGACGCTGTGCTGGACACCCCAGCAGCCCTCGAAAGTGGCGACAGTTTCGCAGATTGCAGCCCCCCAGGGATGGCGAGCCCAGAGGCAGGTACGAGAGAGGTACGAGGCAAGAGGAGAGAGAGAGAGAGAACGGGAGGCGGGAGGGGTGCAGAAAAAGAAGGACGCGACCAACTTGCTCTATCCAAAACGAGAACCCAACAACGGAGGGTTGGGAAAAATATAGATCGGATTGTTCCAAGGAGTTCGAGGTCTGGATTCCCTTTATGGCGACCTGCCCTGCCGCGTCCTCGGGCGCCTCTGCTGTATGCGAGAGCGGTCAGAGCAGCTTTTTCTGAGTGCCGTCACCCGCCGTGCTGGTTGCGTGGCACGAGCTCCGCATCGGCACCGGCTCAGCTGCACGGGAGTCGCTCTGAAACTACAGGGCAGTATTTAATACATCGGATTGTTAAACATATAGGGTTTTTCGTACATGATTAATATGAATGAATGTATGCATGAACTCATCGTTGTTTTTTTTGATACAGTCGGGGCGTTGACCTAAGGAACCCTAAATAAGGAACGAGGCCCCTATTTTCCATAAGTTAAACTTCGATGTCACATCGAGAACCTCAGGAAAACCTAAGGCAAGCTGCGAAACTATCAAGGAGCACGGAGCCCCTCCCCAACGAAAAGGGTTCCTTCTTCAGGGCCCCGACTGTACTAGATCCCTGCATTTGTAATACATGATCCGCACGCGGAGCATTATTGAAAACGGCACTATACTGTGACCGCCGCAGCCGCGGCGGCGGCAGCAGCAGAGGCGGCAGCCAGCGGCCGTCGGCTGCGCCGAAGAGAGGGGGGGGGGAGGGCGCAGCATGGCCCGAGGCACATGTGCGCGGGCGAGGGGGGGGGCCAGGGAGCGAGTTGAAAGACGGCGAGGGGGCCACGAACTGAGAGGCATCCTGGCCCTGGCCACGATGTCCACCCCCCCCACCCCACCATGCAGTCCTCACCCCCCCTGTTTGAAGGGGCCCCAGGACACACAAATAAATACACACAAATCAAGATATTCCCCATATTTTCCTATATTTCCCTACCTAGGCTCTGCCTAGAAGGTTCTTACTCGGTGTGCTTAAAGGGCCGGGCAGTGGACCACGCCCCGGGCGGTTCCCCCAGGATCCGCCCCACGGTTCCTTCAGTTACGTCCCCTTAGCTTAGCGTTGCTTATCTCATCTTAGCTTAGCTTGTTTCATCTCAGCTTAGCTTAGGTTCATCTTAGCTCAGGTTTAACTTAGCTAGCTTACCTTCGTCTTAGCTTCGCTGAGCTTTAGCATAGCAGAGCACAGCATAGCATAGCGTAGCATAGCATAGCGCAGCATCGCATATCATAGCATGGCTGTAATTCCCGACCTAGGTTCTGTTTAGAGGGTTAGCTTAGCTTAGCGTAGCTTAGCTTACCTTAGCATAGCGCAGCGCTGCATTAGCATAACATAGCATAGCATAACATAATACAGCCAAGCATAGTATAGCATAGCATAGCATAGCATAGCATAGCATAGCGCAGCATAGCATAGCATAGCATAGCATAGCGCAGCTTAGCATATCATAACGTAGCATATCATAGCTTAGCGCAGCGCAGCATGACATAGCATAGCTTCGCATAGCATAGCATATCATAGCATAGCATAGCCTAGCATAGCGCAGCATAGCATAGCATAGCATAGCATATCATAGCATAGCATAGCACAGCATAGCATAGCATAGCGCAGCATAGCATGGCATAGCAACTAATGCTGCTTTCCCAGGGGCTCCAACTTCTAGGTAGGGTCGCACTGGGGTAATTTCTGGGCCTTTGTCTTCCCCCCCACTTCCCATATTTTCCCATTCGACGATTAATTGTGTCTGTGTGCTTTTTCCCCTCCTGACTGTTGGCCGCCCCCGGGCAAGCGGCGGCAGCAGCGTCCTCTGGCACCCCGGGCAGGCAGTTCATCTGCCCCACCTTCGACGGGTCCTCGGCGAACTCGATCCAGAAGGCGAGGCGGCCTCTCCGGTACCCCGAGGAATGGAGGGAGGAGGGGAAGGAGGAGGAGGAGGAGGAGGAGGAGAGAAGGAAAGACCCAGACCTCCAGCGTACGGAAAGATGAACAAGGCTCGACGACCCCCGTTTGGGAGAGCTGTGCCATGTTGGGGAGCACGAGGACCAGGACCAGAGAACCCACGAACCCAAGCAAAGAACGAGACCAGGAGGCCCCCAAGAGCCCCTTCAGATAACCCCAAAGAAGCGCCCAAGCAGCCCCCAGGAAGCCACAAGACGGCCTCAAGGAGGCATCCTTTTCCTCATCCACATCCTCCTCCACGTTTCGGCGGTGGACAAACCTCCCTTCGGCAAACCGCCCCTTAGTGAAAACGGCCTCGGACCGAAACCGACGGACCAGGACCCGCAAAAATGACGGCCTCGACGCCCTCTCGCGAACCGAAAACGGCCAAAATTCTTTAATCGACGTGTCAGAGTAGGAGGTCTAGCCACCTCCGACTTTTCCTCCTCCGCATCCTCCTCCACGTTCTCCCTCTCCTCCCTCTCACCCTCCTCTTTTCGCTTTCTCCCACAGCGGTTCCCCCCCGAGGGGGGTCCACAACGGCTGGGGGAACGCGGCCCACTCAGCCTGGCCAGGCCAGGCTTCAGCCCAAACGCTTGGGCCGCATGAGCGCTTCGTCAAGGCAGGGGGGCGGCGGTGGTTCGCCGCAGGCGTCTTCGATTTGCACAAACACACACACACACAAACACACACACACACACAAAAGACTCCACTCTGACTACCTACCAGACCACCCCAACCCAACCCGAAGACCCGAACTTGACCCGAACTTCGGGTTGGGGGGGGTACGGGCTCCATGTGTTTTTTCAATGTTCCCCGACCCCCCCCCCAACTGGAAGTGGAGGGCAAATTGAGGCCGTCGGGTTGGGTTGGGGTGGTTTGGTAGGTGGTGATATTCCGAGTCGCTACACCGCCAGAGAAGATGCAATCGTCGAGGAGGCAGCAACGATGGCGTCGGCGATCCGATTGCGAGGCCTAGCGAATCTGGATACGCCCATGGCTCTGAACGGGTCGCCAGTCGCACGCAGCCGCCGGCGGAACACATCTGGATCCGAGAAGCACCCTACAACATCCGAAATATCTGGCAGGGGTCATGTTGAATGTGCACGGACCCTGGAGCTTTCCAGAGCAGCCTGACGGAGGGGTGACGGGGACTCTGAAGGGGTCCAGGAGAATCTGGACCGGTCCGAACTTGTTTAGAGAGCAGCGAGTCTGGGGGGATTCAGGCACCTCAGAAATATGAACAAGACCGCATCCACAGTGCAGAGCTCGGGCCGCCACACGGCGAGACACGACGCTGTCGTGGA